CATTGATACTTCAACAGATTCCGGCGAAGCGAATCGATCCAACATGCAACAGGTTCAATGTGCTACTGCTGGTGATGATGATGATTGGGATACCAAAATTGATCATCAGTTTATGAAGTTGTTGAATAGTTTTAGAGAAGATGGAGATTCGTATCAGAGTCATAATCCGTTGAGGTCTATTAGGCATGATGTAGATAACGGAGGGTACGATAAGCGCGAATTTAAAGCGGTTACAAATAATCAGCAGAGGAGGAGCAGAGAAGACTTCCGGGAGTCGATGCCTCGTGTCCAAGCAAGTACAAAGAAAGAAGCGGAGTTAAGGCAAAGAAGAGAGAGTCTTGGGAATGAAAAGAGTGTTGAGGCAATGCTTGTGAAAAGAAACTCACAGGGCAATGGCGACGCTAGCAAGAAGGAGAATACAGAAGGACAAATGGTATTGGATGAGAATTACAGATCTTATCTCACATGGCTAGTGGAGAATTCGAAAAGTTCAAGAATTAATCCTGAAAAAGAGATACAAGTGTCTGACTCTGATTCTGATATTATTGCGGTTGAAGATCATCCGTTTACGGATGAAGAGGATTCTCCGTTTGTGCCATCCAAAAATTATGATGTTATTGTATGTATTACCTTCATTCACTTTTGCTTTAACATCAATACATTCCCTTTTCGATTGTTTTGTTTCGATTTTTAACTTTTGACATTGTGTTTTGTTGGAATGTTTTAAGGATGTTGATGAAGTTAACGGTGATCAACGCCTTTCTTGGTTTAGGAAGGAGATACTGAAAGTTCTGAAGCAGCCATACAATGAAACAGAGTTCGTGGAACTTCATCACGAAGCATCAGTGTGTAGATCGTTGACCCGATGTAGGGAACTACGAGATGGAAGAGAACTTACTTATGAAACAAAGCAAATGAGACCTTCATATCTCGATGAGTATCCCGGTAAGTTACTAGACCGAAGTTGGTAAACATGTTATTTTTTATGCTTTGCTCAACAATCTTCTAGAAGCTGTATCGATAAACTATACAAAGAAATTGATATGCTTGATCTGAAACAACAACGAACTTTGAAATTTATCTTATCAAAAGTTAGAGAAAGTGTTATTTACCTTGATATTTTTGTTTTGCTATGGTATATGATATCACAGTCTTCAAAAGGAAGTTGGAAGAATCTTTATGTGAAAAGGATCGCCACAGAGCTCTGAATCTGTTGCGCGGATTTATTTTTTATTTAACGGTAAATGTGTTCTGTTTATATTTTTATTTTCAATCGTTCTAAAGAGTAAATATATATGTGATGATCGCTATACAAGTGATGACCAGTCAAATGAATGAAAGAAACGTTAGCACTATGGATTAATCATCGAATTGTTGTTTGTTTCTCAGAAAGTGGCTCGTGATGATGCATTCAAACCTTGGCTCGATCCTGAATGTTTGAAGATCAGATGTTTCTGACAAGAGTAGCAGCTCTTCCAAGTGCAATAAAACTGGAGTTCTGACAAGAAGAGTACCAGTTCCATTTCCATGGATAAATAATTTGGATATTTGTGAGACCTTTGTTTCATGTCATAAAATTCGAACATGCTTTGCTTTTGTTGTGTAAGACTCGCCCAATGTGATTTATCTTTCCCATTTTTATTGGCAGTATCTTCGGATTTCCAGATTAAATTTCAT